TGACACTGAATGTTAGACTCCCACTCCTGAAACATGGACGTTGTAGACCGCTCACATTAATTAATGACAGTGTATCTTCCTAAAAATTAAATAAGCTGAAATCACTCACAATAATATTGTTATTTCGCCTATATGACATGGGTTATGGTCAATATGATGATGTGGACTTATGACTGGTCACACAGTCTTCTGCGCTCTGCAGATAGTGCTTATGCATGGCACTGGAGCCGTGAGGCTTTGGTATATTCTGCACCGAACATCTCACGTTCCAATTAACAGCTGGTGTTGCCGTCTTTGTTGCACAGTGCAATTGTCACGCTGGAAGTAAGAAAGGGTGGGGGAAGGAGGGAGAAATGAATAAATAAATAAATAAATAAATAAATAGGTATTTAAAATAAATAAATAAATAAATAAATAAATAAATAATAAATAAATAAATAAATAATAAATAAATAAATAAATAAATAAATAAATAAATAAATAGGTGGCAGTGGACTTCTTTATGCTCCTGTAGCTAAAACGTCTTCCGATTTACGAACAAACCGATGATTTGAGCAACAGGTAGTGTCTCACAGCTTAATGTATCAGCTCTGCAACGTGACTCGAAGTGCCCCAATAAAAATAAAGCACCGGGTTGGCGTAGGTAAATGAGACTTGGCCGGGTACGATTTATTTGTAACCACATGCGGCAATGAAGGAAATAAGGAAGTCGAAGGAAAGTGTGGCTAACCTCTTTGTCCTTCCTCATTTATTCCTCCGAAGGAAAGTGTAATAGGACAGTGCATAGAGCGAGCAGTCGCTATGTTTTTTCTCTCTCTTTTGAGCTCTTTCTTTCATCCCTCGCGCTAAACGTGGATGTCATATACTAGCATACTTATAATCTCGCTTGTCGGTTGCACAGCTAATTGATCCGGCGTTTCCCATTTGCTCGATTCCGTTATGTTTGTTGTTATAATTTGTGCGTCTCACTGGCGTCACTTATGTCCGAAAATGGCGAAGCTATATGTACGCTCGGTCGAGACTTTCGTGTCCCTGATCCATAGGCATCATTGGCTGAATCTCACTACTCCCCACTAATCAACTAAACAATATATCCCACGTACCTTCGGAATCGATGTTATGCGAAGCACACTCATGGAAGGTGACTGTGTTGTATCTTTTTATTGAACGAAGCGTCACGAAGTGGTGCTTAAGATATGTAAAAGTGCACGCACAGACATGTGTTAAAAAGTATGTTTTATATAACCAGTTGTTTAGAGTGGCGTAGCAATGCCAGCAGCAAGATGGATATTAGCAACACCAGAAGCTGAAAGCTGATCTGAAGCGCTGGTGCTCACGAGAATGGTAGCCCTGGACACTGCCACGTATATCAACTTGAGTGGATGGCACCTGGCGTTAACCCGACGTGACGGCTGTATCATAGGAGCACATATATAAAGTTTATTCAATTGAATAGTCAGCAAACCAACGAGAATTGATGTTTCACGAACGTTAGGTTCTATTTGAAAAGTTAGTGCTGAGACCTGGCATGGCTCTGTGGTAGAATACTCAATTGATTGCCATGCAGAATGTTTGAGTTTGATTCTTGCTGGGGTTTAACGCTAACGCGTTCAAATTACCCACGTGTGTTTTCGACGTTACAGGAAAGATACTAAGTGTGAATCGCCTGTGGCACTGCCCGCATGAGCGGCACATACCCGCCCACTGGTATGCGCCACTGTCTTGTCGAAAAGGTTTGACGACGTTCGCACTGGAATTGTGACATTATTCCTGTCGTGTCCAGCGAGTCGTATTCGTCAAACAATCTGATACATTCCCGTACTAATTTAGGTTCACTCTAATAGGGCAGATCACGAGAACAGCCACACGTAAGCGGACAGACAGACAGACAGACAGACAGACAGACGGACAGACAGACGGACAGACAGACGGGACAGACAGACGGACAGACGGACGGACAGACGGACGGACAGACGGACGGAAGACGGACAGAACAGACGGACGGACAGACGGACAGACGACAGACAGACAGACGGACGGACAGACAGGACAGACGGACAGACAGACAGACGGACGGACAGACAGACAGACAGACAGACAGACAGACAGGACAGACAGACAGACGGACGGACGGACGGACGGACGGACGGACGGACGGACGGATAGACGGACGGACGGACAGATAGACGGACGGACGGACCAACGGATAGACGGACAGATAGACGGACGGACGGACCAACGGATAGACGGACAGATAGACGGACGGACGGACCAACGGATAGACGGACAGATAGACGGACGGACGGACCAACGGATAGACGGACAGATAGACGGACGGACGGACCAACGGATAGACGGACGGACCAACGGATAGATAGATAGATAGATAGATAGACGGACGGACCAACGGATAGATAGATAGATAGATAGATAGACGGACGGACCAACGGATAGATAGATAGATAGATAGACGGACGGACCAACGGATAGATAGATAGATAGATAGATAGATAGACGGACGGACCAACGGATAGATAGATAGATAGACGGACGGACGGACCAACGGATAGATAGATAGATAGACGGACGGACGGACCAAAGGATAGATAGATAGATAGACGGACGGACGGAACCAACGGATAGATAGATAGATAGACGGACGGACGGACCAACGGATAGATAGATAGATAGACGGACGGACGGACCAACGGATAGATAGATAGATAGACGGACGGACGGACCAACGGATAGATAGATAGATAGACGGACGGACGGACCAACGGATAGATAGATAGATAGACGGACGGACGGACCAACGGATAGATAGATAGATAGACGGACGGACGGACCAACGGATAGATAGATAGATAGATAGATAGATAGATAGATAGATAGATAGATAGATAGATACGCTCAATGTCGCCGAAGTTCGCAAGGAAATGGTTCGCATTTACTATGCTTAAACTTGGCCTATCAGACCTTAGGCAAAGAATGTACTTCATATGCAAGAAAAATAAGAACAAACAAAGAGCAGCAAAGAGGAACATGAAATAATAAGTAAAGAGAAGCATTAAAAAGCCAGGTACTCGTTACTTTTGCTGGTCGCATATGATGTCTACTTTTACAACGAAAGCAGCACTACAGTGCAGTACCAGTGGTGCTATCAATATAGCGTAAGTGAAAGACGACGTTTGTCCCTCAGTGAAATTTCGGGGGAATAAAACATTCAGACAATACTGCCCCTATCGTTGCACTTGTGGTACAAAGGTTTTAAATAATGATGTACTTGCAAGATCTGCGTCTATTAAATTTCTTGTTGTTGTTCTATGGAAGAATCTGAAGTCCCAGTGTCCTACCAAATTACTTTTTCAAAAAATCTCAGTTCGCATTCACATTATCATAAAAAAACACTCTTATTTTCATGAAAACAATATGACTAATGGCTCAACTATAAGTCTTCATCATCAGCCACTGCACAAAGTGCACAAGTGCTCCGTGTGACCGGTAATTGTGGACGGAAGACGGGAACTGACATCACTTCTAAGTTATGTATAAATTATATATTTATGGAAATGACATCTCGATTTCATTTTCGGTGCCAAGTTAGTGCAACTGTTGAAAGCCAAGGGCTGGACTTTGAAATAATTTAAGAGTAAAGTGCAGGATACACACAAAGAAGCCCATTAATATATCTATGACGAATCTCCCAGCTTCACTGTGTTGCCAGCCTAGCTGTGTGATTAAGTGAAATCGCTCTACTTTTCTGCTGTCGGTGAAATGGCCCACGTGGTGGTAATGATGCCGCCAAAAGCAGCAGCGCTGGCTTGTCGTAGCAGTGACACGATAAGCAGAAAGATTCTGCTAACGGTTCGCAAGCCGTAAGCCGCGTTTTGTTGTGAACCAGCATGACAAGTTACTGGGTGAGCGACTACGAAAGTTATGCCAATATTTTTGTCCGATTTTTTTCTTTCTTGAATCATCAAGTTCACTGAGTTTAGTTTGTATCTGCGTTAATCTTCAAGTTTTTTTTTCTGCAATAATCACGGAGCGATATGAAGATACTTGTTGAAATGAAAAATTTTAAGGGGCAAGTTTTTGTATAAGACCTCTTTAGGGAGGACCCCTTTGAGGAAGCTCGCATTTATTCGCAGGTTTCATAAACATTGCTTGCTGAATTATCGAAGGTGAATTCTGTCGATAGGGAATGTGGCTGTTGAACTATTTTTGACCACCTGAAGCTTTCATGTTTTCCTGAAGTAGGCTTATAATCTGTAAAAAAATTATTGCCTATTGGCAGCAGTAAAAAAAATATCAAAAGGGTCACGTGCTAACGCACGCCTAAAGAATGCGAATTACACGAGCAATGTGCAACAAGTTCACCAGTTGCGAGACTTACCGATTTTTACATTCGTATTTCCCGGTTACTATGGACGAAATACGCCTAGCGCGCCGCCTACCGATAAAGTTGCAATGCTAAAAACTACCAGCATGGCCTCAGAGATTAAATCGTGCGGTATTGTTGCATGGCCATAATTTCAGGGTGAATTCTTTAGCACACCTCAACAGATATATTCAGTAATGCATTTGCTCAGAAGTAGCATTAATAATAAAAGTTACTTAAGCTCGAATATAAATGCAAAGTAATACCAGTAATACTAACTCAAGAAGCCAAACGAAAAAGGAACTGAAACTGAAATGGCGAACGCAGCGCTAACATTCTTTAAGTGGTGACAGTTGGTACTGTGTTGCGTAGCGACTTCCCGGCTTGCGCACGTCCGCAGGTTCTCGCGGTTCCAGCTGTGATACATCGCTCTGAAGACCGCTACCTTCAGCTATAACGGTGAGTGGCGCTCGTTATGTTCGCATTCATCTCACTCGGCACGGAAAACATAAAGTTGTGCAGAAAGCGCCCCACGAGCGCTAGAACGAAGACACCGCTCGCATTTTTTTTTTTTCGTGTCGACGAAAGGGCCGATGTACGTGTCGCTCGGTGCGTTTGACAAGCATGTTTTTGATCCCGACGCTGCAACTCCTGTATCTCGGTTTCAGTAAAGATAGTGCACACTGCAGATAGTGCAAACTGCCCCGTCACTTCAGGTGGTTGCGGTGTGTCAGTGTCGTCGGCTTTTTGGACAACGTTGGAACATACGCGCGGGTAATTGTTTTCGATCTTCACATCTTGCCGAGGGCTGAGTGCAAGAAAACGAAAGGGCGGAAACTAGGTCGAACGGCCGGCTACGGGAGCGTGAAGACGTGCGAAGTTGTAAACTGAAACCGGATTTGAGGAGGTCGCGGGTCACGAAATGTGCAGTCAAGTGCACATGCCCATTCTTTCGCCGGAGATGTCATCTGACAGATGCGCTCATTGTCACTGTGTTTGCGGGGATGATAAAATATAAAGAACTGCGTGAAGAATGGCCACACTTGTGTACTTCGTTCGAATGAAAATAGCGTATTTTGCTTGGGTTTCTCGAGCGATGCTGTGAATGTCGCGTAACTGTAGAGGGAAAGAGAGGCAACCGTTTAGGAGACAGCACTGTCTCTCTTATGTAACTTCATTTTTTTGTATGAAGGTAACGGTAATTTATTATAATGAATGTTATGAATGTGAAATCCGGATTGAGAAGCTGTTTACGTGCGATGTTTATGTGCAATATCACATGTTTAGGTGCAATGTCTTGACTGTCACTAATAGTCTACACTGTGAGAAGTTTTTGGCTTTTTACTTGCTTATTTATTGATACTGCTGGCCTAAATGCTGGCCCATGCAGCAGGGGCAATACAATGTATTCACAAGAGACTAAATTGCAAGAAGAAGAATGAGCCCTACATAAAAAGGATACAACATATACTATAAGCCATCAAAAAACGCCGTATACTATAAGCCATAAAAGAAAGAAATGCTTGTTTTTGCAAAACAGTAACAAAAAATGGAAAGATATTAAAAAAAAAACTTTTCAGGCAATAGCAGGGCACTGCACACAGCACGGGATACTTGCCATAATTGCAAGAAAACTTTGAAATGCTGCTTAAATTATACAGAATTTTGAAAAAAATGTTTTTTTATTCTTTTGTAAGGTTCCTTGATTGTATAACATGGAGGGGTAGGGAATTCCATTTTGTTATGGAGCATGGAAAAAAGTTGTTCTTTTGACATTTCATTTGGTAAATATTGGTGTAAGGGAAGAATTGCATCTGTGCCTAGTCAACCATGTTTTTAGGGGTGCTAAGTAATGGGGCAACTGAAGCTCAGTTTCTCCTTTTAGGGTGGTGTGCAAAAACAGTAGACAACTGAGTTTGCAGCGATGTTAAAGTGAACTTATTTTATTGGTTAGCATTATTTGTAGCGGGGAATGATCTCTTCTATATTTTCCAAAAATAAATCTTACAGTCTTCCTTTGCACATGCTTCAAATTCTTAATGTCCTTTTTGGTGTGAGAATCCCATACAACTGTTACATATTCAAGTTTTGAATGTACAAGTGGACTATATGCTGAAAGTTTTGTATTCACCAGAGCTTTTCTAAGGTTTTTTTTTTTCTTTTTAAAAAGCACAATTTGCACAAGTTTAAAGAGACAAGAATTTCTAGTTAACTCATTGTTATCACATTAATGTTGCAGATCAAAATGGGTCTACAGATCACAGTGGAACCAGTGGTGTTTTTATTCTTTGCCACCATGCATCTGGAGATGAGTGCCGTTCAAGATATTATAAACACCAAGTGCTGCTTCAGACACCTCAACACAACTAATGTTGCGGATTGTCACTCGGCCCAAAACCAGACGCGCACCGACATCAAAGCCGAAGCCTCCCTGTGGATTGCTTTCTACTATGGAACAATGTCTGTGCTGACTCTGATCTGTGGTATGTGGGTTGGATCATGGAATGACCGCTTTGGTCGCAAGCGGCCCATGCTTGTTCCCCTTATCGGTGGGATGGCAAGCGTGCTAAACTTCATTTTCCTCTCACACTTCCTCGATAGCAGTGTGTCTTTTGTCATGATCAGTGCCGTACTAATTGGCATATCTACTGGAAGTTTGGGAATAATATCCAGCTGCTTTGGCTACCTGACCGATGTGACACCTTTCCAGTCTCGCAGTCGACGAATTTCAATACTTGAAGCCATGAATTTCACTGGAGGAGCGTTTGGAATGTACCTTGTTGGAGGCCTGCTCAAGTCAAGTACTTATGAAGTGATCTTCCTGGTTGAACTCTTCATCTATGCTGTTGCCGTCTTCTATGTCTTGCTTGTCATCCGTGACAAAGTGCCCACAGAAACAAGCATTGACAGCGGAGTGGAGCATCCTGGAATATTCTCTTTTCGGCATGTGAAGGACATGGCAATGACTGTGTTCAGGCTGCGAGACCATGGGAACAGAGGCCATATCATACTGCTGCTTCTTGCTGCTTTTGCGATGTTCTATGGCCTAGCAGGCAAGCACTTTTCTTATCACTTCGTTTGGGATATTTTGGCAGCCATGAAGCAGTGCAAGCAGCACTGACAAGTATTTTATATTGCCATCTCTAAAGTAGCTTTGTGGAAGTATTGTTATGTTGAAATATTGTGACCTCACCATCTCAACAAATTGCTTGAAATGAACTATTTTGATTTCTTTATGTAACATAAGCATTTGTTTGTAATAGTAGTGGAAGTTCTTATAACTGAGTGGGCATGTACTTGAAGTAAACTCAAGCCTTTCAAAACGTATTGTTACTAATGTATGGTACATAAGTTTGATTGTAGTTTTGCCTATTACTAGGGTGTCTGACTTTAGTTGTAATGTAATCTTCATGTCTAAAATTTTGCATGGCTGTGTAAATAGCCTATATATTCCGTTTTAAGCTTGTCTTTAGGAAGCTGTTCTGGCACACTATTTTTAATAGTTACACTCGAAAAAGTAACGATGCTTCAAAGCATAGTTGTTTTATTAAATAATAAAAGCCTGTGCTCTGATTTTTAGGGTGACATTGCTCAAAACATTGGGAAGCTAATAGCGAACTTGCTTCTCTCTCGGTCTGCAGCCCAGATCTATTTGACGTACACCTTCTTGACCGATGAGCCGCTACGCTGGACAGCAAGTCATTACAGTTTCCTGCAGGGAGTCAATATTGCAGTGGAAGGTGTAGCCCTTCTGGTGGTGCTGCCTTTGGCTTACCGCTTCTTGAATATTTCTGACGCATTTGCTGGCCTCCTAGGATCACTGTCAAGGTTCTTGGGTCTCTTGTGGCTTGGCCTGTGCACAAAAACATCTATGGTCTACTTCAGTGAGTGAATCTATTTTTTCCTAAGGCATTATTCAGAGTCAGTGAGTTTGTACGGAAATAACAAAGAACAATATTGCATAAAACATACCTGAGGGTCATGTATTAATGTTTGATTAAAATTATTAGTTTAATAATTCATTGAACACTTCCTGCATTTTTCTTGAATTTACACTCAGCTTTGACTCTGTTACTTAAATGGTGATATAAATAGTTGCTATTTATTTTGATGTATGAAAATAGGTATGGCATAAATACATGCCAAGCAGTAGTAATACATCATTGCTACCACCTTTTAAGATGCCTCACTGCTCTGATCTTATATTAATATTTTATTGTCAGCAAAGTATACAAGGTAACATTCTTTCGAATGTAGAATATTAAGTGTTCTTAATTTTATTGTTCTCACTTCCATTCTTCTATTTGTGTCTTTTGCTCATCCCTCTAAAAGTGTTTAGAAAGAACTGAGCTTTGCATGTTTGTGACAAATCGATATGAGAAATATTGTATTAATTTTTCTTCTCACAGTTCCGGTGCTTTTCGTCTTCAGTGAGTTTACAAGCCCTTCGATTCGTGCATTGCTGTCAAAGATCGTAGCTGTCGATGAAAAAGGTTAGTAAGTTTTGATACATTTGTGTGTAAGTTTTGAAATATTTATGCTTAGCTTTACTTGTGTTGCCAAACTCTATAGTTTAACAGAAAATTGTAGAATGTAGAAAATGAAAAATGCGTGCCCACTTCTGAAATGACTAAGCTAGGCTTGGTTTTCTCTATGAAAGCTAGATGATCGAAGTATATGATAGAGATTCATGGATAACTGAGCATCTTCAGGACTAACTCATGATCGCATTTAGACATTAGAAACATGACTAAAATTCACCAGCTGTAGCAAAGTTGCATTAACATCATAGCAAGCGGCCTGCCAAGGCCACTTCCTGTGTAGTTTATAATCAACAAAAATGAATGACAAGACAAAAGGACTTTGCACTAATATTGAATAAAAATCTGTACACAACGTACACATATACAGTATTTTCTCACATATAACCTGCCCATGTGTGAACCCTACGCTTTATCTCGTGTAAAGATTTAGATGGTTCCATCGTGTCGGTCTCATGCAAATTACAAATCTTGCAAATCATGTCATGCAAATTAATTTTATACCTCAACTGAAATGACTTCACTAACTACGCTCAATGTTGGGAAACATTTTGTTTTCCTCTGATTTTAACCACCATTGTCACTCTTGCATTATTTTCTCCAGCCATTGCTGTTCGTTGGAAGGAAGGATCATGATGAGGCTGCCCTGCACACATTATTTGATTACAAAGTGCACCCAGACTTAAGCTAGAAATTTGGCTTTATCTTTTCTGCAGGGTATATGTAAGAAACTACGATATGCTGTTTCGCATGTAGCTTTGCTTGTTGTTTGTGTGTGTAGTGCAGTCGATGCATGTGAATTCACTGCAAAAGGTTACTTGATTTTGAAAAGATATCGTACTAGAAGTACAGTTACTAAAAAATGTTACTTTGGAGGAACAATGAAAAGAAACTGGCAAAACATTTATTAGGTGGCCGATGAGTGAATGAATAAAATTCATATTTTTGAGGTAAACAACCTATAACTGCTATTTGAAGCACAGATAATGCATAAAAATTGATTACAACTTCACTGTAGACCATTCAGCAGGCCTGTCACACATACTGGGTAAAAATAAACTACAGAAAGTTCTATTACGTGCTACGAGGACGTGCAAGTTGACGTTTTTAGGAAGCGTCATCTTCAAACCCACTGTGTGTCATAGACACTCGACAGTAGGTGCCATCTGGTTGAGCCTAAGTAATGCCTTCCATGCAAGAAGTTTGAAGTTTAAGGCAAAATATATTTGCTTCAGAATCGACTACGCTTGCTGAAAGATTTGATTGATTTGATATGGGGGGTTTAACGTCCCAAAACCACCATATGATTATGAGAGACGCCATAGTGGAGGGTCGAGGAATTTTGACCACCTGGGGTTCTTCATCGTACACCCAAATCTGAGCACACGGGCTTACAGCATTTTTGCCTCCATCGTAAATCCAGCCGCCACAGCCAGGATTTGATCCTGCGACCTGCGGGTCAGCATCGGAGTACCTTAGTTACTAGACCACCGGGGCGGGGTGCTTACTCAAAGCGGTGGTTCCAAAAGGGGTCATAGGGACTGAAGAGGTTATGCAACATACCAAACTTTTGAATAATTAGCAGAATAATTTTCAATTTGGTTTAATCAGAGATTGAATTGTCACTATTTATGAGTAAAAAGATTTTTGTGAATAGGCTTTGATTAAAGCATGAAGTTTACACAGCTCAATGTAAGTCAGAATAGAAATACTGAGTGCTATATTTACTCTTCACCTTCACCAATTGATACTCACACCATCTTCATGGTAATTCTGCTCAAGGCTCTGACACAGGCTGAATAACAAGTAATAATTGCCTATTTTGAATGACACAGCAATGAAACTGCATAGCTTTGTTGCTGCGGGGACAGTATAGGCATCAGACAAGGGATCTTATTCTGAGGAGCAAGCTACGACGCTTGCAACAACAGGTTTGATCGGCTATACACTCATGATTGACACTTTTTCTAGAGCCTGTGAATGCCAAGAAACTTTTTTCCATTTTTATACCTGTGTTTCTTGATTTAGTGAACTTTTCACCATGTGCTAAGAAATAGCATCGTTGTGAACACTGTATTGTGTTAACTGTGATAACGGCTTGACTATATCCGAGAAGTATTGAAATTTTCTATATTTAATTGCCCACTGGTTCCCAGCACTGTTTTGTTAACATTTGACTGTGTTTCAAAATTTTATGTGGACATTGCTAAAGCTATTTGTGTGCATGTTACCAGATACATTTATCAGGTCCCTGTGGCAGCTAAATAAATGCACAGATTATTTATGAGGCCTGTTACATATACAACATTTCATATTACATAAAGGTCTGATTTGTCTTTGGTACGTGTGAAGCAATTCAATGTTTCATGGTAGGAATATGTCATTTCATTTTAATTCTTATTACATATCGATGTCATAAGAAAATGTGATCACCTTAATTAATGTAGTTGGTTTGGGACTAATAGTCATACTTGACATAAAAAAATTGCAGCATATCCATGGAATGAATGATGATGAGTAGGGCAAAACATCCTGTCCGGACACAAGGACGGATGGACACACTGACAGACGACCGGACGGACGAACTCACGGATGGAGAGACAGAAGCACAGATGGAAGCACGGACGGGCTGACGAATGCTTCGCCCCACTCATCATCATTCGCTTCGTAAATATGCTGGGACACCGTTCTTATTGACATGCAATGCAATTTTATGACTTTAAGAACTGCCTACTATCATTGTTATAGCGGGAGAACAGACCGATGACAAAGGGACAAGCAGAAGATGAGCGTTCTTGTCCCTTTGTCGTCGTTATATTCTCGCACTATAACAATCGTCATGTCACCACAACTAGCCCAAATTGCCACGCTTCAGGCTATTGCAACGATGACATGGGACGTACGACCCATGGTGTAAGGAGCTTCGCCCCTAAAAATCAGTTAGTAGTTCTCTGGCTGTCACCAGAAATGTAAATTTGTTGCTGCTATACAGACAAGGAGCAGCTGATTGTTTAAACTTCGGCAAAAAGTTATAATTTATCATTTGCATGTTGATTTTATTCTTGCTGTTTGTTAGACACAAAAATGCAATGGCATGTTTGCTCTTTTTGTTTCTAGGCAAAGCTTTCGCTGTGATGAGTGCTCTGCAGTCATTTGCAATGTTCACGGGATCATTGCTCTTCAACGGTCTCTACCCAGCCACATCAAAGTTTTTTAAAGGTTTTGGTTTTGAATTTGCTGCAGCTCTGCAACTCATCCCCATAGGAATACTTCTGTAAGTTCAATTTCAAAAATCTCTTGAAAAATTGTAACAATGCTGGTTTGCCAGCTAGCTAGTTCACGAGTAGTAATTCAAAAGGGGTAAAAAAAGCAAACAGGAGTATCTGTGAGAAAAGAAGAGCAGATATGCACCTTGTCAACGAATACTTCCTCGGTGCTGCTGCTATTCTGGGCTGTTGTGTATATGCGTGACCTCCCTCTCGCTTCGCAACTGTCGAGGCTGCCACGTCACCTTTTGTACTCCAGAGCAACAGCCCAGGCGGAGGGTGATGCCTCTGTTGAAAAGGTCTTTTAATAGCATGTGTTCACAAACTGTCAGAACAAGTATCACACAGCATGAATGTAGTAAACGAGATACATAAGAAACAATATGCTACATACTTTCACTGTGCAAGATACTGATTAACATTTGCTGTACCCACTACAGCATAAACAGGAGCACAATCCTAGTAATTATATTGTTCCGTGAGTAACATTTAGCTATATTAAAGGGCTCCTTGCTTGGCTTTTGAATGATTGTTGTGAATGCTGTTGATAATACTGTACTGAAGTTCATAAATGGTATGCCCAAAAACATGAAAGCTTCCCATTAATTAACACTTTTGGCAAAAGCAGATTTTGTAGTGCTGAAAATCTTGTGGCATAAACATATTGAGGCCAATGAAAGCGAAGCCTGGGATACCCAGCTCAGTACTTCTGAGAGAAAACATAACTAGTAACACCTTATGATTAAGTAACACGTGCAAAGTGCAAAGTAACAGGCTTAGGAAAGAAAGTATGAAAGCAGATAGAGGTGTAAATAGTTGGAATATAATTTGTTATAATGCCTGTTGTTGTGAGACTTGTTCCTGTTGATGTATGGAACATTTATTACCGCATGAGGAAGTGCAGTATAAAACTGGGCTGTTTATACTTATACCTAATGTTGCAGAAACAACACAGTAGATTCAGTCGGGGCACAAAAGCTGTATAGAATGGCACAAAGCTGTGCTAGCTAGCAGGGATCTATGATAAAAGATGGTAGGCATGCAAACACAAATACAATGAAAAAGTTGGGATAACACAAGCAGTGTTTGTACTGTCCTGACCTTACTCTTGCGTCCTTATCTGCATGTTTACCTTCTTTTATCGAGAAGCTTGTACACATATTTACTTTATGGGCTTCCTTCAATACTCTGAAAAATGTATATTCAATTAAAGTTTATTCATTCACTGTAAGTAGGAATTAGTGTTCATCTTTTGTCTGCTGTGGTAAAGGCTCTTTCATTCACCCTGACCATGCTTCAAGAATCCATTTTCTCTTGTGAGATGAATGGCAATTAATTTATTCAGTGCATATTCTGGGCTTTCAATAGGGCAAGCTCCCTGCAAAAAGAAGTTTGTTGTTGACAAAATGTAGAAATCTGCTATGCTGGGGTTTTAGAAATACTACTGCAAGGTTAAGCAGATATTTCAGTAATGCCATCTCTTTTCATTGCTGAGAAGATGTTTTTTTTTTTAACTGTGATGATTTTTTCACATGCTTGAACGTCTGGTAGTCTCTTGAGCAGATGTGGCTTAAAGTTTGTTCCTCTCTGTTCTTTGTCATCAGGTACCTATACTTCCGATTCAGAAGAGAAGCACCGTATGCTGAAATTGAGGGTGAAAGCATGAGCTCTAATATTGTGGAGAGTTAAAAGACCTGGCAGAGCATTGCCAGTTTTGTGCTGTCTGCCGACCAGTGTCACACTTGGGTGTGGGAATGCTTTTGCAAGGGAGAAAAGTGCCACAGTGTCCCCAACTCAGCACTTGTGCAGCAGCCATTGCTCCTTCATGGTGGCATAGGGCCTCTAAAGCTGACTCTTGTATGGAAAATAATCAAGCTGTCATTGTACAGCTGTGAACAAGGAATCGCCTGAGTAAGTTCTGCTAAAATATTTTCAAATGATGTTGGTAAAGCTTATATTCACTTATGTATCATAAGAGGGTGATCATATATTTTTTATTGATTGTGGACAATGTGCTGGTCACATGGAACTCTCTAAGAGTTGCTCTCTTTGTGTCCGTAGAAAACTTATGAATGTTTCCAGCTTATGTTCAAACTTTACACTAAATAGGAGAGAGTCAGCAGAACTGAGATGCTTTTTACAGTTGTATTTCTAGTTTTGTTGAATGCAGAACAATGTTTGATACATAATAATACAAGTATAGTAAAGCTGCAAAGCTTTTGAGACACAATGGTTGTTACGATTCCTGGTGTAGCTGTAAAAAAGTAAATGATGGCTAAAATCTGTCCCAGTCCGCCTGCCTCTGTGGGTGGAGTGGGGCAGATTTTAGCCATCACTAACTTTTTTACAGCTGCACCAGGAATCGTGAAAATCATTGTGGGTGGAGTGGGACACCACTAGGGAGGAATAGGACATATGTAAAACAGTGGGACAAGTCTCATCAGGAATCATTATAAGTGGATAGTTCAACATCAAACATTAAACGGAGTTGCAAAAACTTTGCTGTACTGATAGTTTCGACACTGGAAGCTTCATCACAACTTTCGTACTAGGTAAAGACACCATATTTTTTAGGAGGAAAGTAGAACCGAGAGCTCTGTTCTTCATTTTGCAATAACTGCATATGAATGCTGAGACATCATTACTGCTGGCCACTCTACTAATGTAATGAACACAAATTTTTAAAAATTACACTAACAAAAAAGAACGCAGCCTTTTGTCACTTGAATGTATTCATGAGGCTAATTGAACCAGACATTTCAATGTCAGATTCAAGAAAGGCAACGGCCAGTGTGTCTTTCTACTTGGGTGCACGTTAAAGAACCCCAGGTGGTCAAAATTTCCGGAGCCCTCCACTACGGCGTCTCTCATAATCAAATGGTGGTTTTGGGACGTTAAACCCCACATATCAATCAATCAATCTTTCTACTTGAACAGCAATCCTTCAGCAATGCCATTTTTCATGGGCTGTGGCGGCACGTCCTGACTGTACTGCCCTCCTTTTGAGGGCTGTTGTGCTAACCTCTATGAATTCTTCATTTGTATGCTTTCCTAATGTACATGTAGGAAACTTTCACTTTTTTCTTTGTGCGCTGTGTAAGGCAGTGTGACGATAGGATAGAGAGTACTAATTGGACAGCGTCCTGTTCCTCCCTCAACTCAACTTTCCCCTTCCTCTCTAACTTTGTTTTTCAAGGTAAACAAAGCCAAGTAGGTAAACTTCAGTCATAATGGCTAAATTTTTTTTAAAAAGTCCAGTGATCATGTGTGTTTTCGGAGAACAATTTACATGGGAATCCAAAAGGTGGTGTAAATTGGAGAGTGATGCAATTCATATAGTGAAAGCTTACCTTGGGCACACGAAAACCGCAATTTGCAGTTACAGAAACCTCCATGCACTAAAGGCACCAGTCATTACATTTATACAGTCGGTATGTTAGTACAGTAAAACCTCGTTAACCGGTATCTGACAGGAACGACGACGGAAATGTCCAAGGTAACTGAATTTCGGATCGTCAAATGGACTATGAAAGCAAAAGAAAAATGTACTCAGCACAGGCACACCTTTATTTCATAAAAAATGTTGTTATATCCTGTGCCTCATCATCAAAGTATGTGCTAGAACAATCTTCTTCAACCACATCGGGGGATGGTGCACAGGATTGTTGTCACGAGAACCAACGCACAGCTCTTCAATGACAGCGGGTGCTTTGGTGGCTGCTTCACTCTGGTGATGGTCGCCATCACTTTGAAGAGCGACGCTGGTGGCAACACGCACAAGCACAGCCAGAGAACGCAATGTGCACACAGTCACAACACAGAGGAACCAGCAGCATAGGTGTAGCGAGCAGCTGTGCTAGCTGTAGTAGTGGTGGCAGCGCAACCCGTCCCTGACTGTCCGGTCGACCGTTCCATATTTAGTAGAACCTGGATGCACCAGTGGCTCAAGCAATTCCGCCAGGTGGTTACTAGTGCCATCTAGACACTTCTCTCTCGTTCGCTATCATCATGATCATACTCTGCTGGAGTTGTTCGTTTGGTGTTGTCCGAGTTAACTAGTGCACGAATAATTTCCTCTGAATTAACAAGCATTTGACACCTTGAAGTACACACAGTTTTGCCAGGACAGCGCTGCGAGTTTGAGTTGATCGAATTTCCAAGTTAACGAGATCTGGATGAACGAGGTTTTACTCTACTATTTAATCAGTTGTAGGCTAAAATTTTCAAGATCACTGCAGGAGAGATAAACACACCGTCCTATTTCTCCAATCGTCCCAAGCCTCCAAACTCTCCCCTATATTCCGTACTCCGTCCATGAGCAGTCAAACAATCTTGTTACATAGTTTCATTTTGCTTGATGTGGTTTGTGGAAAACAGCTTTTTCAGCATCACATTTACAGCTTTGTTCAACATCACATTTAGCATTGCTATACTGCAAGAGAAACTGTTGTTACTCAGTGATGACATTTTGGTGGGGTGGGGTTTGGTCGGGTGCATGGTATCGTTGTACCAGCAGCTGACCTTTCTATTGCCATCAATACTGGTTGAAGTCTTTCACGTTGTACTATTAAGTGCACATGTTTTTTTTGTTTTAATAAATTTTAAAGTTGTTATAGTATCTCATTGTGTTCAATACATTGATGTGTGAGTATATTCCTGTTATCCTGTATATAGTATTTTCCAATGTGTCAAGAGTCCGCATGGATGTACAAGTGCATTGCGATAGCAGTGACGCGTTATTAAGTTATTTTGGCTGCTTATTGAGCTTGAACACACAAGTGAGCAAAGGACGGTTTTTTTCCCTTTCTGTTTTTACTGGTGGCATAGCCATGCCATTGACTTAGGTGGCAGTGGGAGGTAAACCTGTTGCTTGTTGAGAAAGCAAAGATGTTACAGTTAAATTCATTTACAGCTATAGTAGGGCTTTCGTAATAATTTGTCTTGCTCTATACTGTACCAAGAATACTTTGAACCTGAAAAACCAAGAACATGAAGACATTATGAAACATTGACCATGAGCCAAAAAACAGATTTAATTTGAAGAATATTTACATATAATGTTATATATATTGTGGAGTAATTTTTGATAAATATTTATAATTCTGTATGTACCTCCAGTATAGTTTTTTGATTTTCGAACTGTGATGTTGCTTCGTGGAGGAAGCCCACTTTTTTATTAACTTGAGGGTGGTGTGTGCAATAACCATTTAATCATTCGAGTTTCAAAGGCGTTACAAGGTTGCTTTATGGTTCACAATCTTTCGTAATCGTAGCTTACTGGCTTATTTTATTTTTAAAGGTTGCATTATGTTTTATGCAGTCATTAAAGCTGTATTTTTGTGTTTGTAAGTGAAGTGTGCATAAGATTTGCTCACTTTACTTTGTGAACAGTTACACTATTTCATTGTTGCAAGAAAGCCTGATATCATATTTTCCCATCTAGTTGTGACACCACTCATCCTCATTCAACGTGTGTCTGATTCTAGGGAGATTCTTAACAGTTTGCCATGTTTGTGATGGTAGTGTCGATGTTGTGAAACCTAGTGCACCTTCATTCAATTATTGCTTTCACTTTTTTACATTATCAGCTACCCACTCATGTCACTGGTGGAGGTTCTGACTGTCATGAAACAATTCACGTCTTCTGCAGCTATCAGGCTGTATGTATGCAAAAATTGCATACTTACGTTTGTCAGGCAGAATCACATTATTGAACGGAGACGTGTTGATCGTTTCATCTTGCCACATTGCGTGACATGAGCATGCAAGTCTCGTCACATCAGCTCTGGTGTCTTGTGTTTCTATTTACGCAAGTTGAATATTTTGTAGAAACAAGTGTTGTTTTATTTTTCCTCTTTCTTACTTCAACTTGACCGATCCCTTAAACCTCTGGGAAATGCAATACTATAAAGAAGTTTTATTATTTTGCATCTCCAGCATAAAATGAACCTTGCCGGTGTTGTAATCACGAGCAATAAATTTTCATACTGTTAAGTGTTTTAGATATGGTTATTAATTGGGACTGTACCCTATACACGTCACGGGAAGAAGTCACTATTGTTGTTCTAATCTTTGATACCTTTTTCAGCCAATTTTCCGCAGTGTTGGCACAGGCTATGAATTTGTGATGTCGTGCTCATAGGCATGTACAGGGTTCTCTGTAAAGAGCAGGTGATGGGAGGGGAGGGGGGCAGGTCTTCTTCTTTTCCTATTTGTCTGCCCCTCCCCCCAAAGAAGAAGATTGAGCACTGGCTTTCAGAAAATATAGTTGGGAAGCAAACACTTCTTGAAATGCAACGTTGGAATACATCAGGCGTTATTGTCGAAAAAACTTTGTGGCCTATTACTGCGGCACATTGCACAATGACAGTACAGGTCCACAACTAGGCAAAGATATATAGAAGACCTGGCACCCTCCTTATAAGAGCAGTGACACCAACTTTACACATGCCGCGTTTTATGCATCAAGGAGTAGTTTTCGATCCCTCAGTAATGATTTGGCACTAGTAATGCAACAGAGGGACGAAATAATATATGTAATATTCATTAGTAGGACCAGTAGCGAACCCAATTCAAAACGGTTGCAATACCCACCTATTTTCAGCACTGCCAAGCGGAGAAGTCACGTGATCCTGTTCCATCTTATCACGTGGCCACACGAAAGGGTGATGCGGCCATCAGTTGACATTTCCTCTGCTTGGGGTGCATATGTATGGCATGTCTTCACCACTCCGATTGTCATTGCCGCCATCATTCGCGTCCACAAGCAACGATGAAAACACTGACGAATAATCTATTGCGGCGATTCGCGGCGTGACAAATCATTTTTTGGTTGAATGTTCTGAGCATTGATTCTGAAAGTTGACGCCGGACCGAGCAGCGATGAGGCAGCTGGAGACGCACACCTAGCTTATGCTGGCTGGCAAGACATATGAATGCTGCACTCGTATTACTTGTTTGCAATAACCGTAGCTTCAAATAATTACATTCACGCTCACGACTTCATGTCGAATCACCCGAAACGGCACAACGAAATCGCAGGAGTTACACAAACGCGCTGCACGAAGCAAGTGAAACAAAGCAAGTAAAGTCATCGCTAGGCAGCCAGGCAGATGGTACCACGTGTAGGCAACACGATGACAACATTGAAATTGTCGAAATCATTGCTGCTCGTACATCATCAAACAGCCCCTGAGGCATGGCCTAGGAGCTTGCTGAACACACTAAAATACTGTCGGTGTCTCACGGCCGGGAATGTGCCGATAAGCTTTGGGCACTCTGCGCTTGAAATAGAATAACTTCTATGTAACATATGCGATTCGTGCGTCGCTAAAAAACTTGCGGACCAAGCGATCGAATGAACGTCACATCTCGACTTAGAAATTTGGTGTCACTGCTCCTTCAAATGATTTGAGAGAACGACGCCCCCCCACCCTTCCCCACATATACACGCCTCAGGAAGGGGTACATAAGCTCGCAAGTTTATTACCATTAACACTAGTTACTTTGCGATTAGAACAAAATAAAAAATATAATGTGCTTAGGTATTTGTCATCCGCAGTAACGAATTGTACGTGCGAGATTTAAGATACTTATATTGCATATTTTGAAAGATACGGGTTTGGCATCAACTAACTGGTTGTTTTTTCAACCACATCAAGTTGTGCTTGCGTTATAATCGATACAGTATACAATAAGAAAACTCAAGTAATGTCATCTATGCTCCATTTGTCTTTCATGTGTTTTATTGTTCAATAACTGTTACTTTGGCCAACCTCAAATGACATCGTACTAGCTAGTCCATTGGTTTTTACTATATTGTTTGGAAATTTTGAGGTGTATAAAACACGGCCGCCGAGTGCAGGGACGATAAGGCAGTTCAAAGACCCCACCACCTCGCGAATAGTCAGCCAGTTCATGTGACGAGATACTAGTAATGTAAGAGAAGGGAGTGGAATCGGCTCGGAATAGACGTGCTGTCTTCATTAGAGAGTCGCACCTTTTGTTAACTGCGCTGGCAGGCACACATGAGCCACTGTATTGCGCGCTGTACTGTGGGACGTCGGGACGATGTCATTAGTTCTGGCGACTTGTGACGTTGTGATGACTGATTGGCGATTTCTCGCATTACTCGTGTTTATGCAGATAATGCCGATGGCCAATTTTTGGGCTTAATGAGGCACGTGACATTTTCCTCTTAGTAATAATACTTTATAATATCGGGGGCTCTACGTTTCAAAACCGTGATGTGACAAAGGAATGCCGTAGGGGAGGGTTCCGGAAATTTCGATCTAAGCACATGGACCTCTTGCGTTTCACCTCCATGGAAATGGGACTGCCAGATCGAAACTGTGAACTTCGAGTCGGCAGTCTAGAAACAATGACTGCACCACCGAGGTAGTTGACAGCTTTAGCATGCATCTAGAGAGGGCTAACTCAAGGAAAGAAAATTCTGAAGTAGTGCGAGAACATATTGAATGATAATACATTCTGCACATATATAATAGGCATATCATGTATATGCACACCTAAATGAAGCTTCGTTTTTATCTTGCCATCTCCTTTATTACGTGTTGGCAATAAGGAAAGTAAGCAGTCGTCACTGCTTGTTTCTTGTAGAGCAAATTAAAACCTTGATTTATTTATTAAAAATGAAGTTTTATTATTAATATTATTCATATTATCTTACGGTTCTTGGTTCATCTCTGAAATTGATAAATAAGTAGGGCCAGTCATTCGCTGATATGAACTAAATTTTGCACTCACATCAATACATGAGGAACCAAAATAATAAAAACAAAAATTTTAAAACAAAAATTTTAACATTTTTCGTACACAAGAGACCATGCTTTGTGGCATAAAGCAAGAGCTGCCTATAGCCGCATATATCTCGTTCACAAAAATGAACTGCATATGTTGTGTATACATTTTAAAAGGTACACAATCTTAAGTTTCGTCCATGACCATAGGTCGGCAAACTTTTCATGAGGCGACTCACTCCGATTCACTCGGACTCTGATCAAGCTGTCAGTCCGGGGGAGTAAAATTTTCGTGAGTGTGAGTCCAAGTCAGTCCCCAAAACGCAAAGTATATTTCTTGAGTGAGGCTGAGTGAATTTCACTTGCTTTTGCTGACTCAAAATTCTGTCTAGTGATCTTCAGCACTGCTATCAGCCTTACCTGGATTCACATTTGCACTCACGTCTAGTTACAGGTATTCCAAAGCAGTGTCGTTCATACGCCATTTCAACATTTATTATTTAAAAATGTGAATTGCGTGGATGTGTCGTTATCTTTCCCCTCCAACACATCTAGGAAATTTCTTCATATTATATCTCATGATGTCATCTCTTCCAAGAAAAATGACCTGCGACGGTGTATGACCAAGAAAATGTGTCCAGCTACATAAGCACACTTTAAGCTTTCGTGAAATAGTCTAGTTTTAGTTACTGCCTTTGGCTCCTTCAGAAAAAAAAAATACATGGTTGGTCCCTCCGTCTTGAAAATCGGTATAACACGAAAGTAAAACGTCTCATTGCAGAAGTCGTTTATTGCTTACTGTACATTGATATAAGAGAGCTTATACAATGTCTACTGTTGTTTGACAGTTAAATTTAAACACCGTTTTTCGTGAAGACATCCACGTTGACGATTAACGATGCATCCATCCCGACGACTAACGTCCATGAATGAATACTAGGTAGTGATTAAACATGCCCTTGTAGTCATGAATGCCTGTGGTAGCTCTAGTAGTTAACGGTAAGAGCGGAGCTACATATCACTACAACGGAACCATAGAAAGTGGTGTGATAGCCAGAAGAGTGCGACTTATTGCACGCCAAACTTGTGCTAACGTCACCTACTCGCTGCATTAAACGCCACTGTGCCCGATTAGAGGGAAACGCAACGCGAGTTTTGTCTTGCCTCATGACCAGCCAGCTCGGCTACAAAGTCGACCAGGATCTTCGATAGGCGAGCTGCTGCAGATCTATCCAACGTCTATGGGACTGGTGCCTCCAGCCGTCCCTCTTCCCCTGCCAACAGAAAAACCACTGGCTATCAACACCAGTCTGAGAGGGCTCTCCAAACGTCGCTCACCCATTTGCGCTCTCAAGCAGGCATCTGCTTCCAAGCTAGAATAAGTTCTAAGTACATTGCTTGCTAAGGCTAGCTGGTTCATAGTACTCATTTTGAAATAGGCAACGCAACGACACGAGGGAAAAAAGACAGAGAGGCCCTTCTGTCTTTTTTTCCTCGTGTCGTTACGCTGCCCATTTCAAAATGAGTACTAGAAGAAGAGCTGGTTTAGAAGGCTTATTGCGTACACGGACGACTCCGTCATTCCAGACACAGGTTCGGCCACAGCCTTCTGCGTAGTTCCACCACTTGGTTGGATGGCCTCCTGCCGTCTCCCTTTTGCGGCCTGCTCTACCGCTGCAGAGATGGCTGGTCTCCACCTGGCAGTTGACCTCCTGGTAGCAAACCCCCAACGTGCCCCGTGGCTGTCGCGTGTGACTCAGAAGCTGCGTTGCTGGCCTTGGCGGAGCTGGAACGGGCAGGTTTCGGAACACAGCTGCTCGTCACCAAGCTGCAAGCGCTCCTTGCCAGTGGCGTCGATGTTTCTCTGCAGTGGGTCCCGTCTCATGTAGGAATCCCAGGAAATGAGCAGGCATACGCCCTGGCGAAGGACACATCACTCCGCTCTCTCTGTGTGCCGTGCCGTGGTCGCCTTAGACTTTTCGAGGCTCACATTGAGGAGGCTGTTGCTACGCTGCCACCGTGACGATCGTGTGGTCAGGATGGAACCACCAACCCGGCTGCCTGACCAGGGTTTCGCCAGGAAGGAAAGGTCCCTTCTCCTTCGCTTACGCTTCGGCTGCTCCTGGCCTGCAGCCCGGCGTCATCGGCTTGGCAGAGCCTCGTTTTCTGCGTGCACTGCGTGCGGGGCAGATGAAACTATCGAGCACCTGTTGTGTGTTTGCCCAGCGCTTCGCACACAATGA